CGAGAGGAGGGTGGAGGCGGCGCCTCCTGGTCTCCCTGTGTAGCTCGGAGCAGGTTTCCCTTTGACCAGTAGTACTCTGCTGCAGGCTCCTTTACTTATCTGCGAAGCCATTAAATACTCTCTGTATATTTTAAATTCCCAGCTGCAAGGATTTAGTAACTTCACGTGGCTAAAATAAGCCTTTTGAGTGGGAAGGCCCTGCCCTCCCGGGCTGTCCCCTGCCGAGGGACGAGCTGCTGGGATATAGGGGGGGTGCCCAGCCCAGGTGCCCTGGGGAGCCTGGGGCTGTGCCGGGAGCCTGGGGCTGTGCCAGTAGCCAAACCCACATTTCATGTCTTGAGGGACAGCGCCTTGAGCTTAAACCGACTTTTTTTTTGGCATTGGCTGCATTTCTCTTTGCTTGTCGCTTCGAAAGAACACTGTTAGGGGAAGGAGGAATAGAGTGAAGTAACTTTGTGGGGAAAAAAAAAAGAAGAAATTTTTTTTTCAAGCAATGTCTAATAACTAGTGCATATGCCTGACAGCAGCAGAATAAAGAAATGATGGATCCGTTTAAAATGAAGGTGTGTAATGTAGATGAAAAGCCTTCCACCTGTAGTCATATAGCCAAGGATTCATCGATCACTTCCAAGCAGGTGATGTGACTTTTGCTAGAACCATGTTTTACCTCACAAACTAAAGCTTCAGAAGATGGTTCTAGTAAAATCTCAGTTAACAGCAGAATTGACAAGCAAGTTTGTATCCAGCTACAAAGAAACAGGCTGTGAGAGTGAGCAGAACAGTGCAGTCTGTTCTCAGCAGTTTTTCTAGCAAAAAAATCAAGAGTTGGGAACAATGTGAAATACCGAGGGCAGAGTATGATGTCAATGGAATGGCCTTAGACTTACTCCAGAACAGACATTACATCAAAGACTGGTGAACATCGTTGGATGCTGGGTAAAAAACACAAATTAATACAGGGTCACCAGACAGATTTATTTTACCTGAGAAGCCTTTGTGCTTTTTTAGTGGCTCCTCTTATGATTGACTCAGCATTTATAAACAGGGAGAGCCATAATAAGCCATAGAAGCCATCTAACCTGAAGGATTGACTCCAACAAAAAGGACGAGTCAAAGCACTGATGGAGAATCAATCGGAGTCTTTCTAACGTTCGGCAGTGCTAGGAAACAGCAAACGAGGAGGTCTTTGCTTAAAACTCTGTGCAATGTTGCTTAACGTAAAGAATGTGTTTTAACAGTTTGAAACCACAAGATGACATGGGATTACTAAAGGGCTTGGGCGTATTTCCTTTAAAAAGTGGGAATTTTGAATACGGACAGATACTTTAGGGTCACAGACTGCAAGAGGCACTTTCCATCGCTCTCTTGAAGCGTTTAAAGCCGCAGTACAGCCATGGCCGGTAGAACCTGAGAACACACATCCCTCTAGTGGCAGAAGTCTGCCAGACAAAGAGAGTACCCTCTGCATTCCCTACGTAGCTGTCAGAAGTGGTGTAGAACAATAGCTGTACAGTTCTGAAAATGCATGGCAGGTACGTGTGTGGATGTCCTCAGGGGCAACTTGACTTATTCGCCTTGCATATTTCTTAATTTGTTTTTGGTTAATAACGGTTGCAAGGCACACGTCCACTTGAGTTTTTATACAAACTCTTCAGGTTGGCTTTTTAATTCCAGTTCACCCTGGAAAGAAAGCCTTTGAGTTATCCTAAATGTTACCAGAAAGGTTTACACTTTTCATCTCCAAAATCGCTTATGTGGCCTCTCTACACTAAATGCATTGGGAGTTTAAAGTTTGAAGTTTCCATCTTGATATTTTCCTCTTAAAGACTTACATTTTTATGTACTAGAAGTTGTGTAATCACGCAGCAGAAGATGGTTATCTGCTCACCGTAACAAGATGACCCATAAAACCCATTGTCAACCTACACCATTCTCCCTGGCTTGATCCTTGCTCTTCAGACATCCAGCAATCCTTCCTAACAACCTTCAACAAGCAGTTTACTATTTTTCCCTTATTCATCTTACTAAGCCTGTTACAGGAAGTAGAAAGCTCTCTAACAACAGTATCAATAACCTGAATGTATTGCTAAAAATGTTAGATACACAGCAGTTACTAGGAAAACACTTAAGTTTAATATTTGTCCACTGACATTCTTTCTTCTTATGAGAAGTTTTAAGTGAGAGAGCATAGACTTTAGCCTAGGAACTGTGGGGGTATTTTCATGAGTACATGAAAAGACTTAGGCATATAAAATCCCTAAATCCAAAAATCACGAATTTATAGGCACCACACACTGTAAGAACCTTTCCTTTGCCTTCTACTTCTACATCCGACAGTGTAGATGGTCACAGGTCTAGGCAAGCACTTCTGTCTTAATTCTGCCTTCTGAAAGCACGGAAGACACCTGAGGTAATAAAACCAAAGCCTTGTTAAAATTAATTTTAAAGACTATCCTCCCCACAACTACTTGACATGCGATTCTCCATGTCATTAGATACATATTTACAACAGAAGAGTTATGTGACAATGGTAGGTACCCGCACCAAGGGTTTTCTGATGTACTAACGTGTTACCAAGCACCGTTTTCATCAATGAAGACCCTTTTCTACCACGAAGGGAGCATGGGACTGTTTTAGATCTATTACCATTTAGAACAGGAAGCATATATCGTAGCAGAAGTACCTGTTATGCTTTTAAACCTCATTTGAAAACAAACCATTAAAAACCCCAAACAAACAAAACCCTCCAGAACAATGTATAAAGGGACCACTTTTTGGATGATCTACACAGAGGAATGTCCGGTCCAGAAAGGTGCACAAAGTCAGGCGTCTTTGGGGTTTGGTTGGTTTGCCTTTTTTTTTTTTTTAAGATTTGTTTTAAGAAGCCTTTTACAGACACAGACCATATAGGAGGTGAGACTGGAGAGAATGAAAGAGCAGACAAGCATAATTATGCACACACAAGAGGAAAAAAAAAAGTTTAAAACTGGGGACAAAACTAATAAGGGAAGAGCAGCATGACTAACGCTGTCCAGGATGAAGCCTGCTCTACACTGATGTTCTGGAGAAAAGAAGTAACTGTTGGCAACTGACGTAAGGCATTTTCTCCGATGAACGACTTTCAACAGCTCTATGAGCTTAACTGCCACACAGTTTCTTTAAAATTAACGGACTCAACACCAACATTGTTTATTTTTATTAATTTTTGTCGGTAAACAGCAGGACGTGTATTACATAGCTCAGTCACAATTTGTCGGTATGCATTTGAGACCACGCATACTGTCTTGACATTGTCTAGTTGTCAGGTGTGGATTTCATAGAATTGTCAACAAGATTTTTATCAGGCGTTTCATAATGATACCAAGGTCCATCTCCCCTGTGTCTCATCAGTCTGCGTGCCTCCAACTCCATCAGCCTACAAAACAACAGACACACTCAACACGAAGTTTATTGGTTTTGATCGTACATATATCGATGTTTAACATCAGGGCATTACTGACTACAGCATGAGTTTAGCATCTACGGTTTACAAATGCTACTGAAACACAGGTAATACCAAATATGACGGGTTCAACTAAAACATGAGCTAAAACATCCTTTGATTTCAATTTTTTTCAGCAACTCATCTCACAAAAGAGTAATAAAAATACTTGCAGGAGTTCTGTCACAGGTTCTTGCCTAGTAAGGGGCTCGACAGTTCTGATACTCAGGGCCTGGAGAACAGGTCTTATGAGGAGCAGCTGAGGGAACTGGGGTTGTTTATCCTGGAGAAGAGGAGGCTGAGGGGAGACCTTATCGCTCTCTACCACTACCTGAGAGGAGGCTGTAGTGAGGTGGGTGTTGGACTCTTCTCCCAAGTATCAAGTGATAGGACAAGAGGAAACGACCTCAAGTTGTGCCAGGGGAGGTTTAGGCTGGACATTAGGAAAGATTTCTTTACCGAAAGAGCGGTCAAACATTGGAAGAGGCTGCCCAGGGAAGCGGTGAAGTCACCGTCCCTGGAGGTGTTCAAAAAACGTGTAGATGTGGCACTTTGAGACATGGTTTAGTGGGCATGGTGGTGCTGGGTTGACAGTTGGAGTGGATGGTCTTCTCCAACCTTAATGGTTCTATGATTCTATGATACAGCTTTCAACTAAGAAGAAACAGGACCAAGAAAATCAGCAGTAAATGTGATGGTAGAAGGAGCTATGCTGTCTCAGTCCCAACAGCAGACTTGGACTGTCTTCTACTTTACTCCCAGTAAGTATAGAACAAACAATGTCGTTGCTGCCCACAAAATTTTCAACAGCAACAAGGAACATGGTCAGTCCCATAAACGGTCATTTAGCTACTCAATTAAGCTGTGAGCATTAGCAGAGGCAAAAATAGCTGCCCATTTCCTGACTCAGGACGACAGAGCTCTACCTTTATAAATACAAACTGTTTTGAAGAGATGCTGTTGTTTCACAAGACTGCCCTTGATCCCTCCAGTTCTGGGAATCTTAATGCCGATAAGGCAGGAACCACGGATACTGTAACTTCCACTTTGGCACCAGCCAGTGCCGCAAGCATTCGGGGTCAGGTGGTACGTGAACAAGCACGTTATGTCAGCATCCAACTCGGTACGTTAAGCAAAGTAAGAGAGTCAACTACAGTAAGTATCAGTATTTTAAAACCCTCAACTAGGTAACGCACCTCAGTTCAGTTTTCTTCGCTTCAATGTCAAGCAAAGCCATCTGTTTCTCATAGTCCTTTTCAGGGGGATCAAGGAGGTAACGAGCTATCCAGCGACTTATAGGGTGCTGGAAAATGTAAAAGCAGAGATTATTCAGGCAATTTCCAAGTAGAACTGTCATCATAACCAAATCATTTTGCATGTTGCCAGTCCTGAAAACATGTCGTCAACACTATGGGTGCTGCCATTCAAACCATAATAAGCAAAGTTAGAAACGTGCTCAACTATTTGTAAGGTCAGAATCCTAAAAAGCCATTTTTGATGCCAAGATAACCTGCAGATGACTATTCTGTAGCAAAATCAAAAGTTAATGGAAGACACGTGATTTATTTTCTTTCTGTTGAAGTAAAGTTCCTTAAACTGCCACTGTAATCACAGAAATCAACTCCAAACCTCTTACCGTAATCAGTAACATTTAAAGTTTTGCTTCGACATAGAGGTCATTTCATTAGGAACAAAAGTCTAAATGAGTTGAAACAGTCATAACAGTATTGCTGGATTGAATTACTTGCAGCAAGAAGCCAGGGACTAATTTTAAGAAAATACAATGAAATAAGTATAACTTTGAGTTTCTGACTATAAAAATCTTCTATTCTAGATACAAAACTATGTGTGATGCTGGACTTTGAAACAACACTGGCAAACAATACAAAAGAAAGTAATGTCACTTTGAACTCTGGTATCTTAAGATGTTGTAGTTCCAGAGCAAGAAACAAAGACAAAAACTGCATGCTAAGAATAAAGAGAACAGAAGATCGTTCTTAGTATTTAGGAATATTATAGAAAAATTCTTGGCATATAGCTTCAGCAGTTTACTGGCACAAAGTTACAGATCACTTGCATCTACCTGCGTCAATAAACGGATTTGCTACAGCACCACACGTGTTCCACAAGGCAGAAAAGACCCTAGTTTACCAAAACCGTAATTGCACAATTTGAGTTCTGCTACACTGACACCCCATGGCAGCGACATCAGCATCCTCATTATCATACTCCACACATTTTGCTCCCAAAAATATCATCAAAAGGAAGGCTGTCCATAACATGCCGTCCTCTCACACGTTACACTCACTTTGTAGTATTCCCAGTACTCTGGAACGTAACCTTCGGGAATCTCTGCAAGTTCGGCTTCACCTGACAAGCAAAGGAGGGGAGGAACATTTTTTAAAAAAAAAAAAAAAAAAAAGGAATTAAGCCCCTTATATTCTGCCTTTCACATCAGAAAAAGATCATTATTTCACATGGAGAGTTCTTAATCCCTCAATCTGTGCTCTATTCAGAAAACATTGACTCATAGTTTTTCCAGACACTTCACCCTGTGTATCTAGCTCAGACTTTAAGCCACATAACAAAAGGGTGAAATGAGCAGGTACACAGAAGAAATATCTCAGACCAAGTCCACAGAAATGCCCTTTAAAGTATATGAGCTGAAAGCATGTTTTTTTCCTAATTTCTCTATTAAATTAATTCCATATTATTCCTGTAGTAGATTTAAAACACATATTGCCAAGCAGAATTTTGGCTTTTTTGCTAGATAAAAAGCGACAGTTGCAGTGTATGCAGCCTTCCTAAAGCAGTACCTAAAACAAGGCAATGCAGACTCCTCAGCTGAATACAGAAGAACTGTTCACTAAACCTCACTGATGTTTGAATGACAGTCAAAAGATGGATTTTTTCTGGTTTTAAAGATGTGGAAAGCTTCTATAAAAAAAGCTGATAGAAAAATAAAAACACTGGGAACATCTTCTCTGTACTTACACAGTATTACCGTAACTGTTAGGCCTATTTCATGGTCTTTCAAGGAGTGCACCTTAAAAGATCTCTTTTTTCCTATCCAGCATGCTTAGTTTCCACTTAATAATTTTGGCTGGGTACTTAGCTTAGTTGTGAGAGAGCACTCACCAATGAAGATGTTGACATACGTTATGAATAGTGCCACTGGTATTCCCGTCAGAAATACATAGAATCTCTGTACAGGGGATAAAAAGAAAAAGAAACAGTATGGGAAACTCAGAAGCCAGACAAAATTTAGATGAGGTTAGTCTGAAAATGATGTCACAGCCAACGATTCTTAGATTTGCATTGACAGGTCGGATAGGGATGTTATACGTAAAGTCATATTTCTGCTCAAAATGAGTTAATTAACAAACTAGAACACAGAAACAGCAGCGCTGTGTCAGTCCATGAGCCTGTTTAGTTCGGCTCCCAGCCTCCCAGAGAGGCCAGTCTCTGCAGACGCAGGCAGCAATGCCTTCCCTGAACGCTGCCTCAGAGGCTCGTGCTGACCCACCTCGGCGTTCCGCTGCAAGGGGGCACCGACACCAGTGCCACGCAGCCCACCGGGAACACCACGGCGGCTGGCTTTGGCGCCTGTGGAAGGCAGGGAAAGGCAGCCTGGTCACATGAAGGAAGTTGCCTCAAGCTGGCTGTTACCTGTCATAACAGGCTTTATCCAAAACCCAGCTTTTTACGGGTCAAACTCAGGTCAGGCTTCCTAAGTCTCATCTCTGGTATTAGTGGTTTAGGTAACTGAAGGCAAACCCTGCAGAAGAGTAACCCAATACAACTTTAAAAGGAGGATGGAGTGGAAAGCATGTGTAGGTTACGCACATATGAACACATGCATTGACGAATGCTGCTACAGCACTAAGTACCTATCACGCCCTTTGCCATTTAGCCAATCTTTTTACTTCATCTGGCCCTGATTTTACAGCATGTGACAGAAAATTCTTTAGGACGACTGGAAATTCTTGTTTATGTGAATAGTGCCAACCACATTTTAGACGCTGTCATGTAAACCATAGAGAAAATTGTATTTTAGACACTCTTACACCATTTGCAAGGGATGTGTTATATTGAACGTAGTAAATTTGTTTTTAACTCACCAACAAGTTCAGAAATCGAGTATCATAAAAACTTGTTGCCTTGATAATAAACATTCTCTTCGCATGGCTGCTGCTATGTCGTACAGGAGCTAAAAATGGAACCAAAGTATTATGGTTTTTTTCTCCCCTTGGTTATTGTGCCAGGAAAAGGTCAACAACACATATGAAAAAATAATAGAAAAGAAAAAAAAAAGAGTTCACAGCAATGGCTGAGTAGTTACAAGCTGGTTTTCTGGAGAATAGCAGTGTTCCTAAAAGCCTGCCTGAAGTGATTTCTTATTTTGCTAGAATGAACCTATTTTTCTGCTAACTTTAGACATAACCGATTTCTACCCGTAAATCCCAATGAATAAATCGCGGAACGACATTATACAGGGCCAAGCAAACTGACAGATCAGTAGTTACAAAGTTTGACCTCCCACCAATTTTGACCCATGTGCTACTCAAGAAATGTCACTTCTCAGGGGAACGAAGACACACGTTCCACCCCCCGTGGGATCCTCCCGCACGCCGAACGGGTTTCCTCCGCCCGCTCGGCCAAGGGGGAGCCGC